GTGTGTGTGTGTGTGTGTGTGTGTGTGTGTGTGTGTGTGTGTGTGTGTGTGTGTCTGTGCATGTGTGTGTCTGTGCATGTGTGTATATACACATGAGCCTACAGAGGCCACAAAGGCTAGAAAGGGGTGTCAGAGCTTCTGGAGCTAGAGTTGTGAGCTGCTGAACAGGTTCTGGGAACTGAACTCGGGTCCTCTGGAGGAGCATTGAGTGCTCGCAACAACCAAGCCCTCTCTACAGCCCCCACCCCAAGCCTTCTTCACCTCTGACGCCAGAAAACTCCATACACTCTTGCTGAGGAAGGCACGATAAACCTGTGAGCTATCTCTCCACTCTTCCTCTTTCCTCCTCTCTCTCGTTCTCTCCATCTCTTCTCAGTTCTTTTTCTAGTGTTGGTTGGGGCTTGACACAGGCTAAGTGCCCACTGTCCCGTGTAAGTGACATCCCTAGGAAGATCCTCCCATCTTAATCCAAATCCAGCCAGAAGGGTCCTTACCTTTAACTCTGCCATTTTAACCCGGGCCAGGGAGTCTACGAGACACCAGCACCTCTGTGTCCCTTTGAAGCTTCTCTCGGAACGTTCTGGGTTTCACCAGTTCACCGTGTCTCCTTGGTCAGCACGTCACTCAAGGCAGAGTTGCTTAACGGACACATGAGGCAGAAAGTCCAACGTGCTTGTATCTAAAATTCTTGCACAACTTTTTTTTTTTGTTTTTGTATTATTAACCCCAGGTCATTTCTGAGGGCATTTGCAGAGAACTGGTTCCTTTCTCCAGAGGTAAATATTGACCAATTATTTGTTCCATTTTAAGGCAGGCTTTTTTTCCCCCAAAGGCAGAGAATGTAATGCTAACCGAGAAAGGAACTGTGGGAGTTAGCACCTGCCAGATGTGACAGAATTCTCTCTCAGTCCTGACTCAAGCCGGGGAGGAGCAGGGCCTATAATCAGTGCCTATGGAGAAAAGGCAATGTGCTTTGCCCCAAGTGCAGAGCTGCGGGAGGGAGGGGACCGGGACTGGACGCTCCCTGCCACTGCCTCCCACGGATGAGCTCAGCTCCCAGGGTTGGAACTGTCCTGAGCCTTGCGTGCTGCACTTAAAGCAAGCTGGGATGTTTAACTGTCGTTCATCTTAATTTCTGAAAATACATTTAGAACATTTATAAATTCTTTAGTCATTTGCTTCCTAATAATGCCTTAAGTCCTCGAGAGCCGACTGCCCTCCATCCTCCTTCGCCTGGACTCCCTTGCCCTCCATCTTGGCCACTGGTTGCCGTCACTGGAAGGTAGAGACCTCATGACTGGGGTGTTCAGGAAGGAAACATATACCGAGGCTGGCCTGGGCCAGATTTTTCCCACAGACGTTACCTCACTTCATTTTACAAAAACAATTTTGCAAAGTAGGTTTTACTATTACAAACTCAGATGCAACAGCGCGGGAAGGAAAAACGGCTGAGTCGATCAGGCTAGGTGATTTTCCAGAAGTGAAATCCTAATCTTGAAATGCTGGCAAAAAGAAGTGAATGCTAAGTCAAACTTCTGCAGCTAGAGGCTTCTGACAGAAAAGGGCTTATTGGGCTGTGTAGACACTAGCTAAAAGGTAAAGGACCACAGTCCCTAATACATGAATGACAGGACTAGAGAACACCTAGAACATGTCCACCCAACCCAAGGGTAGGGTGTTTTATAACACAATTTGTGAGAAAAGAAATAAAAAGCATTTCCATGGAACCTGTACTGGTTACAGATAAGACGGGCAGGACACACAGGGCCATGGGGGCCTAGGTCAGTGCACAAACAGAAGTCTTGCTACTGCTTGCTCGCTTGGTTCCAGAATGCAGTATGGCCCTGAGGAGTGATCCTCAGCACACAGAAGAGGGATATGGAAGAGTTTTTCTTTGCTCATTAACCTTGAGTTGTGAATTTAAATGGTCTTCTCTTACCTCGTTACTCCTCTACTGACTGGCATGTAACTTAACATAGGACATCTCAGAATGGAGGGAAAGGAGGAGGAAGGAAGGAAGGAAGGAGGGAGGGAGTAAGAAGGAGAAAGGAAGGTGGGAAGGAAGGCAGGAGGAAGGAGAGGAGGAAAGAAGGGGGTTGAAAAGAAACCATTATAGTAAGTTGCAGGCGTTACCTAGTTTCTGTGTGCCCCTCGAATGTGGCTTTACTGTTCCTTCCATCAAGAAAGTCTTTAGCTAGGCATGGTGGCATACAGATGCCACCCCAGCACTTGGGAGGTTGAGGCAAGAGGATTTTGCGTTCATGGCCAGCCTGGACAACACAGTGGGACTCTATACAAAAACAAGCCAAGAGATGGAGTCTTTTTCTTCTCTGGATCTTGTTAAACATGACATGAGAAAACAGCCATAGATACTTGTGTATTTCTAGAGGTCTCAGACTAACGTGTGAAGAGGTGGAACTAGCTGCCAGGGGCCAGGCTGCAGCTCCATAGCCTACACTAACTGCCACACATGTGGATGAGGCAATCTGGCCGCCAGGTGACTGCAGACATGTAAGCGATCCCAGGTGAGAACTAACCGTTAGCTAAACCGAGCCTAGATTGTTGGCTGAAAGTCTTGTGAGTGAACAGAACGGCATATTTTACATGGATAGATTTGGGAGTAGTTGGTTAACAGTGACAGATAATTTTACCATATAGCTAAAAACCATGTGTTCAGGTCTAAAATGGATCCAGGCTGCCAATCTGAGATCCTGCCTTTAGATGATGGGACTAAGCAGCCTTCAGAGCTCAGGACTGTGGCATACTGCAGTTGCAGTGAAATGATTTGTCTATGTATGAGCTGTTCCACACAGAGGCCAGTCTTAGGGGCCACGTTAGTTGAAAAAAAGGGATGTTGGTACAAACTTGTGGACTGATTTCTGGCAGGCAGCTTCCAGGGAATCTCAGCACGTTAGAGTGTAGACAAATGACATTAGAAGGTATACAAACTCTGGAACTGATATGCAAACTTGGAAGTGTATGGGGACCCCTGTATTATTGAGGCTAACCAGACAGTATGCAGACTGGAAAGAGAAAGGAAATCCTATTCAGTTCTGAGTTTCTGAGTACCTTGGCGCTTCATTACTAACTCACTTGCTTTGGTGGTTAGAAAACAATACAGCAGAGCCAATACAAGACACTTTTCTATGGAGCCAGCTTCAGAGACAGGCTTCAGGAGTGTTTCACGGCTGGGTGTGGAGCGCACACCTCTAATCCCAGCACGTGGGAGCCAGAGGCAGGTGGATCTCTGTGAGTCTGAGGCCAGCCTGGTCTACAGAGTGAGTTCTAGGACAGCCAGGGATATGTAGAGAGAGACACTGTCTCAAAAAAACAAAAACAAAACCCCCCAAAAAGTGATGTGTGGGGCCAGAGAGATGGCCCAAAGTGTGAGGGATTCCTGGTTAGATGAAATTTTCTTTAGGGCCCTGAAATTATTTAAGTCAGAATTAACCTATTAATAGGCTTTAGGAATTCCTCCTATGTGGGTTAACTTTATTTCTTGCCTTTACTATTTTTAGAATAATGATTCAATAAATCAAGTATTTGCTTTGGAGTTACTATGCCAGGTACTGTGAGGCCCACATCCGGGGAATGAGACTACAAATCCTCAGGTACGGGTAGCCTTGAGTCTTTGCCTAATGGCTTCCTATTTTAACTAACGTAAGCACATAGTCATTCACTCATTTTTCTTGAGGACCATTTCAGCAGTGTATGTTACATGCTAAGCTAGTGACTCCTGGTCCAGGGTATTACTGGAGGGATTAGACAGGGCCCCAAGCCCAGGCTAGGAGGGCCAGGGAAAGCCTCCTGGTGGAGATGATGTCTGAACCAGGTCACCTAGGGTAAGAGTTAGAAAGGGCTGGATCTGAGGGAACAGCATGTGAGGACAGAGAAATGGCAGTGAAGCACACTGTGTTGGGGGCCGGGTGATTGAAATTAGGGATCGGTGGGAGGTCCTATTGAGAAGCCTTCCGAGAACAGAGTGCTTGGGCAGACTTTCCAAGCTGAGGAAACACAAGTGACCTGGCTAGGGGAGCCACATTTAAAAAGACACCCGGCAGGAGGATGAGACGGTCACTGTCGGGGGTAAGCCAAAGGAGTACTGGACCAGAGCAGAGGGACAATACCTACACAGCAAGCAAGCAACAACAACAACAACAACAACAACAACAACAACAACAACAAAATGTTGGTAAAACTCGGAGCAAGGAGGGGGTTGGATGAGCCAATACTGGGCATGTGTGGAACAGGGAACAGAAACGCAAGATCTGAAGCCTGCAGGTGATTGCTGCTTTCTGATCTGGCAGACAGGAACTCCACTCTCTGCAGAAGCTCCCGGGAAACAGGTCCAAACACTACGATACCCCCGAGTTGGGGGAAAGGATCAAAACCAAGTATCATAAATGGTGATGCATGTCTGTGATCCTGGGTACTTTGGAGGCTGAGGCAGGTAGGTGGTGAGGTTCACTTTAGCCTAGGGATCAGAGGCCAGCTTGGGCAACATAGTGTGCCCTGTCTCAGAAAAACAATAAAAATCAAACCCTCAAATCCCAGCTTTCCCTCCTGCCCCCTACTGCACTTTCAGGACTTTTATAGCATGTATTCCACTCTTTAGATCAGTGGCCTGAAATATGACATATTTAGATAACTTTGTATTAAATGTGGGATACAAAATTTCTGGAAATTTTCAATGTATTTTTTTTTTGTGTGTGGGGTGGGGGGTGTTGCACGCATCACAGTGCATCTATGGAGTCAGAGGGCAACCTAAGATTATGGTTCTCAACCTGTGGGCCACGACCCCTGAGCGTGTCAAACTCTTAAGATATTTACATTACAATTCATAACGATAACAAAATTACAGTTATGAGTAGCAATAGAACAATTTTATGGTTGGGGTCATAGCACTAGGAAGGTTGAGAACCACTGACCTAAGGGATTGGTTGTCTTCTTCCACCATGTGGGTCCTGGGATCAAATTCTGTTGTCAGGTTCAGGAGCAGGATCCTTCTTCACCTGCTGAGCCACCTTACCAGCCCTGAAACCTCCCTCCACCCCCCTCTCTCTCTTTTTCTTCTCCTTTGTGTATTTATGAATGAATAACCCACACATCTGAAACAGCAAGACTGTCATTTAATTCTGCTTTTTGTGGTTTTACATTTGAGAAAATTTGCTCACATAAAAATAGATATGAATGAATGAGATTTTTTACTCACTTCTAAATTCAGTATCAAAAATCATTTACCATTAAGTATTACTTCTAATGATCTATAATTCAACACCTTACTTAGGTTTTTTGTTTTTTTATGTGTGTGTGTTGAAAGGGGATAATTGGAAGCCTGATTGAAAAAGGCTTCATTTCCCAGCTACTGGGACCATTTACTTTAACTGAATATTACACTTTGTCTAACCTGTTTACTCAGAAAGGATTGGGGAAATAAAAATGTTAATTTTTTATAACTTTTTTTTTATTCTGGTTCTTACTTTGAGAGGCTAAAGAGAAGCTTTGTTATGGGAGGATGTGACAAGGCCTTGGCTTATTTTCCTTTGTATTGACATAAATTAATTATATATAATAATGGGCTTCCTTATGACATCTTCATACATGTATATAGTATATCCCAATCACATTCACCCCTTGCCTTTACTCTCCCCCTCC